GGCCTCTTGTGAACTTGCTCAAACCGGTCTTGAGATGTTCTTTCTCCAACTTAAGCTTCTTGTTTTCTTCTCTAAGTTCATCATGATTTTTCTCCATCTTGAGTTTCTTGTTCTCTTCTTTAAGCATCTTATTTTCAAGAGCTAGATTATAATTATTGTCAAGATTCTCTATCACAATTGTGTTGGTGGTTGATAGCTTTTCAAGATCTTTTTTGAGCTTTTCATTCTCATTCTTGAGCTTGACAAACTGATCATAGTTGTCGGACTCAACCACTTTCTTACTTTTGCTACTAGAACCTTGCTCAATGCTCTCAACAATCAAGTCATCACATGATGTAGCTATATCAATCTTAACAACATTGTTAGTAGCATCATGTGGCTCATTGAATAATAACTCATGAGAAAGAACAAGATTGTCATGATTAATCTTGAGATTGGTGTAATTTTAGCAAATTGTAACTAGTGGTAAACTCATTATGTATCCCCTCAAGTTTATCATATTTTTCTCTAAGCTCCTTTTTAGAGGATTTGAGCTCCTTGAGTTTGGATGACACAATTTTATTTTCTTCTCTAAGCTCAACACTAGCTTTTTTGGCTATGTCATACTTTGCTAAGAGTGAGTCCTTCTCAAGTTCTAGCTTTTTATTTTTAGCTCTTGTCTTTCTAATAATTTTAGTGTATTGGTTTAGCAACTTGACAAGATCATTATAAGAAGGTGATTCAAATTCTTCATCACTATCACTACCACTTTCATCATTGCTAGCATTATCATCACCACTACTATCATCATCATTTTGTACCTTTCGTTCACCCTTGGCCATAAGGCATAGGTGTGTAGAGGATGATGGCGGCGGTGTCGGTGAAGATGGTGAAGAATTAATCACAAGGGCGGCCACCTTCTTATTCTCATTCTCACTTTCATCATCGGATGAGCCACTTGATGATTCAATATCCATGAGCCAATCACCAACAATGTATGTCTTGTCATTCTTCTTCTTCTTGTGAAATTCCTTCTTTTCATCCTTCTTCTTGTATGGCTTGTTCTTCTTCTTCTCATCATCATTTTCATCACTTGAGTCATCTTTTTTGCCCTTGTACTTCTTCTTGTACTTGTCTTTCTTAGGTTTGGGGCATTGATGAGCTAGATGACAAAGTTCTCCATAATTATAGCAATCAATTTTGGAGATGGGCTTCCTTCTATTACTAGTGAAGAATTTCTCCTTCTTGCCATCAAACTTGACACCATTCTTGTTTAGCTTCTTGAGCATCTTGGTAGTTCTTCTCACCATGAGAGCAAGACTTGCATCATCAATCTTATCATCACTTGAGCTATCATGATCAACTCTTGCTTTGCCCCTCTTCTCTTGGATAGCCTTCAATGCCAAATCTTTCTTCTTGGTGGAAGAAGAACCATCTTGTGGAGTGATGTGTATGTACATCTCATGTGCATTGATCTTCCCCAATATTTGAGTTGGAGTAGCGGTGGAAGATCACCTTGATGAAGCACCGTCATAATATGCCCATATTTGTCAATGGAAGGACACTCAAGATCTTTCTCACAACATCGAAGGGTTGCATTTGTGTGAGTCCAAGCCCATTGACTTCTTCTACAAGAATATTCAAGCGTGAATACATCTCATTGGCACTTTCTCTAGGAAGCATCTCAAATGAATTAAGCTTTTTCATCACAAGGTGGTAGCATTCCTCATGCTCACTCTTGGTTCCCTCATGGAGCGTACAAATGTCTGACCATAGTGCATTGGCATCTTTGTGGTTTCACACATGGTTAAAAACGTCCTTGCAAAATCCTCTAAAGAGGGTGTTTCTAGCCTTTGCATTCCACTTCTCGTAGTTAACCTCATCACCTTGAAGGTTGGCGGGATCCTTAGGTTTTGGGAAGCCTTGTGAGGCGGCTCTAAGAACTCCAACATCTAAAGCCTCTAGGTATGCCTCCAAGCGAATTTTCCAATAAGAAAAATCATCTCCCTCAAAGATAGGAGGGGATCCATCCCTGTGGGACATCTTGCTCTAAACGGTTAAGCCTAATTTAGAGAGCATGAGGCTCCGATACCAATTGAAAGGATCAAGATGCCCAAGAGGGGGGGGTGAATTGGGCTAATTCTAAATTTTCACAATAATTAAGCCCTACACTTAGCCCATTTCACCCCTTGTGCCTAGAATGTATTTCTATTGTTCTCCCACACAAAAGTTATGCACCCTAGATTCTAATCCTACTCTCGCATGGCAATTCTAGGAATGCAAAGATATGAAATGAATTGCTCAAATGTAAATGCTCAATGTAAAGAGAGGGAAAGGAACACGGTGATGTTTTCCCGAGGTATCGGAGAGTCACCACTCCCCACTAGTCCTTGTTGGAGCACCCGCGCAAGGGTGTACCTCCCCCTTGATTAGCGCAAGGATCAAGTGCTTCTCTACGGGCTGATTCTTTGACACTTTGTCGCGGTGAATCGCCCACAACCGCTCACAAAGTGACTTGGGTCATCCACAAGCTCTGTCGGATGATTACCAAGCTTCCAATCACCACCGAACCGTCTAGGTGATAGCGATCGCCAAGAGTAACAAGCACAAACTCTCACTTGACCAAGACAAGCCTAATGAGTAAGGTGGATGCATACTTTCTATTCCCTATGCACTAATGAGGTCCCTAATCTTGGATTATCAAATCTCAATAACCCCACTAGGCTCTTGCTCTCCCTTACACTCCAAAGGTGTTTCTCGGCTGAACAAATGGGCAAGAGACCTCCCATGGATGAGTGGAGTAAGTATTTATACCCCCTCATTCAAAACATAACATTTTGGAGGCTGAGTCATCACTCTGCGGGCTGACCGAACACTCCGGTTAGGGTGACCGGACGCTTTGGTCAGTTATACCCACGCCACTGTGTCAGAGAGAGCCGTTAAGCTCTGACCGGACTCTGACCAACGTCTCGGTCAGCACCCACCGGACGCGTCCGGTCAAGAAAAAGACTCTTTAGAACCTCTCTAGAGTGGACCGGACGCAGGCACCCCAGCGTCCAGTGCTCCTCCACTCAGCGTCCGGTCAGTACCAGACGACTACAGTTGATTGACCGGACTCTGACCAGCATTCGGTCAGCACCCACCGGACATGTTCAGTCAAGAAAAAACCTCTCTAGAACCTCTCTGGAGTGGACCGGACGCAGGCACCCCAGCGTCCGGTTCTCCTCCACTCAGCATCCGGTCAGTATCGGATGACTGCAGTTGATCAAATGAACTGACCGAACTCACCCTCCAGCGTTCGGTCACAACCAGACCACTCTCCATTCACTTCCAACTCGAAATCCTATGTGAATAAAGTTGACTCCAATTGATCTTAGGGCTATTCCAGAGCTACCTAGTGCTAGGTTTGACAAGTGTGCACCACACCTAACCCACTAGACTCACCTAGGTCAAGCTACTAGTCCATACCCCCCCCTTAATAATACGGTCAAAGGAAAAATAAAGTCCTAAACTACTCTAAGTGTCTCTCAAATACCAAACAACACTTAGAACTAGTCCGTCCTTTACCTTGTTAGTCATCCTTTGAAAACTAAAATGATTTCCATCGATAGGGGCATGACAACCATGATTGTCCAATCAATTTCTATTACCATAACCTAACTTAAATTGCCTCTGCAAAACACACATTAGTCATAGTAATCTCATGTCGTCATTAATCACTGAAACCCAACTAGGGGCCTAGATGCTTTCAGTGATGTTCGGGGCAGCGCAGGCCCCTCATGGTTTTTGCAAGTGTTTCAGATGCATGTTTTAAGTATTTTCATATGCCTTCAGACGTATGTTCCAAGTGTTGTATTTTAAAGTTTCAAAAGTAGATCGGGTGTTGCATCTCTCTCCTTGCTTTCTGTTGTCTCGCCTCGGTGTCCCCTCCTCCCGCCTCCCGGCGCTGGCTGGTCGTCCGCCGCCCCCTCCCCTTCTTTCCGATGATGGTGACGTTCGGGGCAGCGCAGAGCCCTCATGGTTTTTGCAAGTGTTTCAGATGCATGTTTCAAGTATTTTCATATGCCTTCAGACGTATGTTGCAAGTGTTGCATTTTAATGTTTCAAAAGTAGATCGGGTGTTGCATCTCTCTTCGCTTTCTGCTGTCTCGCCTCGGTGTCCCCTCCTCCTGCCTCCTGACGTCGGCTGGGCGTCCGCCGCCCCCTCCCATTCTTCCCGATGCTGATGACGTTCGGGGCGGCACGGGCCCCGTGTGGGCGCGCGAAATGGTTCACAGGCGTCCGGACACCCCATCCGTCCGGACGCTAGCAAGCCCGTATCAAAAGCTCAAAGTGCTTTACGCCTTTACTCTTAAAAAATCTTATATATAGTGACTTATATACGATAATAAAAGACTATGGTTGAATCAACACTATTTGCTCTATTGTTGAACACTTATAATGTCTATTTTAATTTTAATTTTAATTTAAACCTTTATAAAGTGCCATGAACACTAGTGATATTATTGCATTTGATGACTAGTTCAGCCATGATACATCACTATACAAGCAAAGCGTTCACTTTAGACCTACTCACTGACTACGTCCTTACTTGCGTAATTTACAGATTAGATTGAAATATGGTCATTGACGTTGACTTTAGACGCTGGACATCTTTTTATGAGCCATTTCTGATCCTAGAGCGAAAAAGTTGGAGTTGATGTAAAACCAACAAGAATGAGGGAAAAAGGTAAAAGTAACACGACCACAAAATAATCCACAAGTTGCATTAATGTATTGCAACAATCCTAGGATGTCCTGCGACATACAAATCCAATATACACAAGATTGGGAATTTTAAACATGAACACAATATCAAGCAATATACATGGCATGCCCAAAGACAAGCTGAAAAAAAATTGATGTCTACCCCGGAAACGATAAACCATGACACTTTGAGCGATTCAACTTTCAATGAAGCACACACCCTCACTATTCATAGAACTGCAAGAAGGAAATAAATAGGCAAAATGCGCAACTGATCAACCATGGACTGGGACTTCATTCGGAGGAACCAGTTGTGCAGCCAGATCAGGACCTGTAGCTTCTCCAACGACGAGCTCTTCTGGGGCAGAAGGTTCTGAAGGAGGGACTTCAACTGGGGTTTCTTGCGCTTGCGCAACCTTTGCCCTTGAAACCTTAGGTTTTGAGTTTGAGATTTTTGGCTTTGTAACTACAGGTCTTGCTTCAGCCTTTGTGGTGGCAAACGCTTGTGATTGAGCTTTCGTGACTGGCCTCTGAACAGGTTTTCTAGCAGGGACACGAGGTTTGTTGTTCTCCATAACTTCATTTACCTTGCCCGAATTTGCAGTGCTCCGTGGGCTCTCACATGATACAGAACCATCTGCAGAAGCAGCAGTAGCAGAATTGGCTGGCTTGTGCCGGCCGAGCTTCGGTGACCTAGCGCGTGTTGGGGGAATCTACAAAACCACATCATACGGGAATTTGGTTAGGAGTGTGAAATTTACTAATGTGACAAAATAATGTGACTAGAAAATATAATTCAGGAACCTTAATATTTTTTATAGAAACTAGCAAGGTGCACAAGACAAAACATTTGAATAGCAGTAACCAAGAAAGTGAATTTTAAACACACTGAAGTATGAATCAGTGCATACAGAAGACAAATGAGAGAAAAAAAACATTTACTAGATCCTGAAACATGAATGAGATGATGAACTAGTAGAAAGAAACGATTTGTCACATCTAATTAACCTCCTATGAGATGGAAGGACAGATTGCACGAACATATATCTTGTGTACAAGAATGGCAATGTTTAGTCCCACATTAAGGTGCATCATTAACTGCAAATCTTGATGATTATCCTATTACAAATTCCATCATATGTGGATGATAATTGTTATAGAAAATAATTCAGGCATCTGTATGAAAGATAATTTCGCTTCATGGATCTTGCAAGACAAAGTCCCTAGTTACACTAATCTAAGACCTCAAATAGAGCCCTCAAAATTGTATACTATTTACTTCAAAGTTGCACTATCACAGAGGCAGCAATATTAAACTATATCATAGTAAGGACCTAGCAGTGCACACATCAATAGGCACTCAATAATATTACAATTTAAGAAACTTTAAAAATATAAGGAGCATTCAGTATATGTAATATAGGATCACAATTCACAACTGAAAGACTGTAATCTAATGCTGTACTGATTACTGAATTTAAAAAAATAGATCACTCATGCACAAAGCAGTAAGCCAGTAACTAAATCGAACAAAATGATTATGGCAGAAAAAAAAAAGTGCTTCAAATGCAGTTGTGTATCACATGATACATCTGCATGTACATTCTTATTCACCATCTCTAACAAAAGCATACTATCATTTTCTATGGTGAAACAACTGTGTATTCAGGTTGCATTTTTATGGTGCCATCTTAGTCAATATAGTACACACATGACACATAGGATTTCATATTCTCGTCTCAAAATGTTTAGACAGACATCCCTAAGCATGTCACAAAACCATATTTTTAGTGGAAATCTCTGGTAATGTAAGACACAATGAGATAGTTGCCAGTGCATCCATCAATGTACAACGGCAAAAACTAAAATTGTACAAGTATTTGTATGAGTGCAAATGGAAACTTATCAAACTGGTTCACTGTGAATCTTTCTATTCAAATAGAAAAATAGGATGCAATTAAACCACATGGAATCGGAACCTCACTACATGAAGTAAATCAACTCAGTACCTTTTTCAACTCAACTTTAGGTGCCTGCTCCTTGTAAAAGCTTGGCATAGGTGTGGCTTTAAATGTCAGGCTCTTCCTCAGCAGTTTGATCTCAGCCTCTTGGCTCTCCTGAGTGTGCATAGATTAACTTTCAGAACTGACACATATAAGTATCCCATAGTTTTTTATGCAAATAATGTGAAAGCAACTCTCACCTTAGATTTCTCCTGCAAATTTGTTTTTTCCAGCTCCTGTGCGTGGATTTTCTCTTCAAGCTTTTGGAAGAACTGGGAGTAGGGAATGACCAAGTCCCTTCAGTACAAGAAATAGGAAAACTAGACAAAACATGATCACTAAAACACCACTGTGGAAAATAATGCAGACCTCCTTTCTCTTCTCAGCACGCTCCTCCAATCTGAAACTAAAACCAGCAGCAGCAGCAGCAGCAGCACTCTTGCGTGCTGCTGCACGGGGAGTATTGGTACTTCTGCAACACAACACAAAATAGCAGCGTTTTGTGTTGATACCATGGGGAAGAACAGATAAGTGACTATCAATCAATCAATCATGAGGAATTTCTTACGATGTGGTGGAGCGCACGTCATCCTCTGTTTTCCCTGGCTGCGTTTGTTTCAATGGTTTGTCAGTGTTTTCATGTTGCCTGTTATCCAAAAATCAATACTTTCAGCAGACGAAAACGACAAAAACCAAAATTCATAACGGTTCTGATTAGTCAATCTAGTGCGACAAACAACACTGATCAAACCATTTATAGTAAGCATCAGAAAACTGGAAGGCGACACAATGTCGAAACGACCCACATTAATTGCATGGCGTGTTCTATTTAGAGACGGTAACTGAAATTACGATGCAAAAGGAACAAAAGAGAAACACAGCATCCAAATCTGGATTGGTAGTGGCCCAGCACTTACTCTTCTTGGACAGCGGGAACTGCGTCATTTGGGGCGGCCGCATCCACTGATCCAGACTTGACAGGCTATATAAGTCAAAAGGGAACCAAACCAAGTCTTACAACAACGCAACCAAAAATAGACAGAACAATGTCAAGATTCAAAGTAACCGATCACTCAAGGAAGGGAACCTTTACCATCGACCGGCGAGCACCAGGTGTCCGCGCCGAACTCGCCTTCTTCTCCACCGCCCGGCCTGCAAGCAATTACATTCAATTCAATTCAATTCCACCCCAGAATTCAGTCAACACGACACCACTGAGGCGGCACAGACAAAGGACACCCAACACTATATATATATATAACAAAGAAGGAGCCCAGCAGCAGCCTAACCTGCTGCCGCCTCTGATCCATTGGCCACGGCGCCCTTGGCCTGCTTGGGCGTAGCAACCGCCGCCGCGGCCTTCTTGGCGGCGACGCCCGTCGCACCCCGCGCCGGGAAGGACGCGCTCTGCGAGAGGACCCCGGGCTTCTTACCCCTCGGAGCAGCGGAGGCGTTGGCGGTTCCGGCGGGCACCCTGCCGTTCTGCGGCCTCGCCTTCCTGGCCCCGGCGGCGTCCCCGGATCCGCCCTTCTGCACGCACAGCCAGCCGAGCGACGGTCAGTGCCGGATCATACCACCCCCGCAACGCACGCGCGGCGGGCGAAGACGGTCACAGGAAGCGGGACGGAACTCACCTTGGCCGGCGCCTTGGCCGGTGCCGCGGTCTCGTCCGCCGTCACCGCCGGGGTGGGGGCGTCCTCAGATCCAGCCGGCGCCGCGTCCTCGGCGAGATCCCCGCGATCGCCGGAGGCGGCGTCGGCGGCGGGGCCACCCTGACCCTCCTCCGCGGCCGCCTTGACGACGACGTAGCCGTCCCCCTCGATCCCATTCTCCGCGGCAGCGGAAGCGGCGCCCTCGCGGCCAGCGTCCTCCATCGCGGCGCCCAGATCCGGCCCGCAACCGCCTGCCGGCAGGCACGTCCCGGGCTACCAACCTCAACCGCCACCACCTACCGAACCACGGGGCGGGCGGGCGAGTGCGCGGCGGGGGTGGTGGGTCAGCAGTGCGGGGGCGCGGGCGCGGGCGCCATCGCCGTGGACTCGAGGTCGAGGAGAGGAGAGGAGAGGAGGCGAGCCGCCCACCCACCCAGTGATGGGAAGCGCCGGGGTGGCTGCGTGGAGTGGAGTTGCCGAGTTGGATGGAGGAGTTGGTGCGAGTGGACTCGACTCGGGGGAGGGAGGCTGGGAGGGGAAGGGAGTGCGGGTGCGGGGGAGACGGAGCGGCCAGACGGGATCGTCGTGGGGGCCTCTCTCTCGTGCCCGTGCCCCGCGCCCGCCGAGTAAAACTGAAACGGAGGCGCGGCCGGCCGCGTGAAACTGAAACGGCGGGCGCGGCACTGGCAACGGCCCGTTCCACGAGCGGATCGGACGGTTCTACCCCTCGCGCCAGTCGCCACCACCGTATGGCCCGTCGCCACGTTGTTTTTTTATCTCTCTCGCCGCCGTAGTCAAAGTTCAGCGAACGGAGCCTATATCTCTGTCGCCGCCGTAGGCAAGCACCTTGCCCTGCATAATCAAATATAGTAGAGACGAAGAAGGAAACCCAAACAAAAAAAAAACATATGGAGATAGCGGGTTTAACAAGGACTGATCGTTTTCAAATATGTAGAGATTTTCATACATGCATCGTATTTATCTCTATGAACACACGTATATATCCAACTCTTTGGGCTGGCCCCTAATAAAAGATTAAACCCTCAAATCGTGAGAGAAGTCGACAGATACAAACTTTATAAAATGTTTTGCCTAAGCGAAGTAGATAAGTATGAGATAAGAAGTATTTGATTATCCAATTAACATGATCTCTTAATCTCTTTCATAAGTCCAGTTGTGCTAGAAGATACATTTGATTGTTCAAACAGAAGCAGCTACATTTGCCTTTCTTAGTGGATAAGGATGTGTTATGCATGATATTCTTAGGCCCGTTTGAATCATAGAGCTGAAGCGGTTTTGTAAACCGTTTGGCAAAATGGCTTTTGCATGTTTTTGGGAGAAGCCACTATTTTTGGCTCCTTCCCACCCCAAAGCTCTGTGAGAACACGTTTTGACTTCATCGGTGGAGCCGCGTTTGGTGACGGCGGCTCCAAGCGGCTCCCAAGCATTTGGAGAAACCACCTTAAGCAGGGCCTTAATCATAGACAATTGCTAACTAATTGCTTGCTTTAACCGGTGGTTGACTTACACGCGTCTCGATATCGACATATGAAAGAATGGTGATGCTAAATTTACTAATAAATCTAGAAAAATGCCCTATGGACATAATCGAAAAGAATAAACATGTTAATTTCTTGAACAAATTTAGGAAAATGTGAGCAACGGCGTCAAGTTGAGAGCATGAACTTGCTATTTTGAATTATATTGGTATGGCTTCACTAAACTTTTTGATCTTTCCAGAAATGGGGGAATCATTTATGAAACGATAACTGCTTCCTATCATGAATGGGAGAAATTTTACCAAAACATATATATTTCTATTTTTCTTGCAAAGTTGAACATCTTGATTTTCATGGAGAACTAGTTTTGGAAAGAAAAATTGTTGAAGGAGATGAAGTCATGCCAAGTGAAGCCTATTAACACTAGTGTTTCTTAAAAAATTAAATGCTTATTAAGAGCAACTTCAAGAGCCTATATCTTTCCTTATTGGTAGCAATAGAATTTTGGTATAGAAAAGCCTTCCAACAGCTTCGTTAACTAGATATCCAAATATGGCCATCCTCAGCTAAAGATAAAGAGCGAGGTTGACTCTCTAAAAGTGTGCACAAGGTATAAAGATGTTACTAGATGATGAAAATATTGAAATGACTCTCTTAAAATTGCTCTAAGAAACTACACGTGTTGGCACTCTAAAAAGTGTAGTCTAGGAGTACGTGATTGGTTGGGTGGTGCCTCCAACTAGGCTTTCCTAGTACATCCTAAGCCTATTTGGTTGCCCGCAGGTGAAACAAAAACATTGTAGCGGCAAGGATGTACTCCCATCGTTTCAAATTATAAGACATTTTGACTTTTCTAAATATATTGTTTTTAATATGTATCTAGACATATGTATATCTAATAAGTGAATAGTAAAAGTTATGCAGCTAGAAATACCAAAACGCCTTATAATTTAAAATGGAGGAGGTACCAGACTAAGAGCACGTTTGGTTCTTACTCAAACCTTGCCTCCCATTGCTGAGCAAGGATTCGATGACGCTAAACACACCGGGAGCCAGACTGGCTGCTAAGGTAAAGTAATCTTACGTGGAAGGTGGAACCATATATACGTCCCCGAAACCCACCAGGGCAGGGCAGGGCAAGGCACCACACACGCACCCAGCAGGGTCCAGGGCTGGGCACCACACACTGTAGTCGAATGTCGAGGCAATTAATCAATCATCAAACACAAAAAAGAGAGAAGAAGTTAAACGCCTCGTGTGCTGGCTGCTGCATGCCTTTGCCATCGGAAACGCTCCTGTATCCGTACAGACCCGACATTCGTCCCCGCCGCCCCCGTCCGTCTCGCTGGATCACTCTGCTCGTGGGACAGACCCCCGCCCTGGCCCGTGCGGCCCCCGCTCGTGCCACGCTTAAGCGTGTCAGATGTTTTAGAGATATGTTATAAGTATTATATATTGATGTTGTAAAAGTAGATCGGGATGCTGCTCATGTTGGAATGGCAATACACGTATGCTTCAAGTGTATTTTTCAAATGTTTCATCTGTTTTGCAGATGAATGTTGTAAGTGTTTTATATGGATGTTGCAAAAGTAGATCTGGGTGTTGCACACATACATGCATGTTGCAAGCATATGTTTTTAGTGTTTTCAGATGTTTCATGCGTATGTTTGCAAGTGTTTTATCTGGATGTTGTATATATATTTGCAATGGTTTTTAAACGTTTTTGCAAGTGTTTCAGACTCTTGTTTTAAGTGTTTCATCTGTTTTCATTTGTACGTTGCAACTGTTGCCACTGAATGTTTTAAAAATAGATCGGATGTTGCACCTAGGATGTGCGTGAAAAGCGGCCGGTGGCACGGATGACACCCGGAACGGTGCGTGTCCAGTGTTGATGCGCTCCCTTGCAAGCCCGACGCGCTAGGCGTTCATTTGCTCCCTAGGCTAGTAGCGTCCGAACGCTAACGTCCGGATCGCTAGCTCTCAGATCGGACATCTAGGCACTAGCAAGTCCGTTTGCCCATGGGTGTAGTAGCAAAGAAAGAAAACCCGGTATCGAGTCGAGTTCCATTCGATAGGGTCGTGGATGGACGTCCTGACGGAGCAATAAATACCCTGTTCGTTTGATTGATAAACTATATATGACTAAAAATATTGTTGGCTAATTTGTTGTGAGAGAAAAATACTATTCGTTGACCGGAAAATATGACTTATAAGCTAAGTGCAGCATCGTCCCGTCGTCCGCGCCGCCCTCTCCAGCCGCCCAGGACGTACGTCTACGTCGCCAGAGTCGGCAGTGTGTACCCACGATACGCACCGCGCGTCGCCTGTCGCCTGCTGGAACTACAAGGTTGCTGCGAGATGATGGTGGGTTGGATCTGGACTGGACGTGCAGCGACCCTGGATCATCGTCCGCCCGTGCCCGTCCATCACCGGCTGGCATTTTGTCCCGATCGATCGACCGTATCATTGCATTGGGTAGCTGACTGATCCATCGGATGCGTGTGACAGCTAGCATGTAACGTGAATGTGTTGCCGTGTTGGTCTGGCGTCTAGCGACGATAGTGTATGGTACCTACATGGCTACATTACACACGCCGGAGCGGCGAGCGATGGATGGAGATGGATCGATCGAGCGTCGTCCAGATCCGATGGAAGCAGCTCCGTGCCTGCTGATCAAGCGACCGATCACGCAGGATGCGATGCGACCCGGGCCGGCGGGCCAACCACCGCGGGCCGGCGGGCGGAGGTATCCGATTCCGATCCCCGGGCGCCCCTACTCGTGGAAGGCTGTCCTTTTTCTGATGATGATCCTACGGCCTCGGGCTAAGGGCTACGGTTGGTTGCTCGCTCAAAGCGGCACACCCTAAGTGTAATTTAGGAATTTGGTTACTATAACACTTTCGTTTTTATTTGATAATTATTGTTCAGTTATAGACTAATTAGGCTTAAAACGTTTGTCTCGCGATTTCTCACCAAACTGTGCAATTAGTTTTTTTCCATCTACATTTAATGTTCCATACACGTATCGCAAGATTCAGATATAATAGCCACTATAACACTTTTTAATTTTTTTTTTGAAACTAAACAAGGCCTTGTACTCCGTCCTGTGGTTACATACTCCAGCACGCCACAATTTATAAATCTTTTTTTTAATCTTTTTGTGCACGTGGAATTACGGACCTATGATTGGTTGACCATGTACTCCCTCCGTCCCATTGAGTTTGTCGCTCGGGAATCGGGATTGTGAGGGGGGCACGGTTTTCCAACGACAAACTCAATGGGACGGAGGGAGTATACTTGACCTGCCATATGTCTAGGATAAGCATTGTTGGATGCAAAACTTTTAATGGGAATATGAATTTGGAAAGGGCGTGGCTAGCGCTGGACGTTCGGATGTTGGCCCTCCGTCCGGACGCCCATGCTGCGCCTGTCTGCCCACGCCACACCTGTTGTGCCTACTAGCCCACGCCTGCTGCTGCTTTCACATGCTGCATACTGTCACACGCCCCGAGCATGCACGTGGGGACCGCCTCCGTCCGCCCTCACTTTCCGCGCCTGACATTGAGGCAAAGCAAAAGGCGAGGAGGGAGACACAACGTCCGATCTAGTTAATAATTGCAACATACGTCTCAAGACAATGAAACATTTGAAACTCACTTATGGAACACTAGCAAAAACACCCGAAAAACACTTGAAACCATTGCAAACATAGGCAACGTCCAG